TGTTTTCTGTATGTATTTGTGTTTGGGGGTAGGAAGCAGTTATAGGGTATTGAGTCCTAGAAAGTACAGTCTTCAAGAATAAATATCCAGTTGACATGGGCAGAGAAGTGCATTCTGGAGATAGTACATTCTGGAAATTGCAGTGTTTTCTACACCTTCATTTATGGCACACTTCTGGAATGGGGTTCGGACTCAGGCAGTGAGAGTTAGATGATACTATTCCAGTCCAGCATAGCTGTATAAGATAAAAGCCTCCCAGCAGCACTAGGAATTGGGCTAGGGGATCTACATATCCTCTTGGCCAGCTGTAGATCTGAGAATGGCCTGTTACCTATGTCCATGGAAGTAGAGAAGGGGACCAAGGGTAATCTATGCACCCTTGCTGGCAAATACCAAGAGGGCTTTGAACAAATTCTGCAAAACAAGAGAAAAGACAGTATCATTCTAAATGTTCAGAGAAAGAATGAATGTTTGAAGATGACTGCCAGTGGGCAATTGAGACTACTTACCAGGTAAGATATTACAAAGTGGGGGAGGTAGACTGTAACTGAAAAGAATCACAGCATCTCAGTGTTACAAGGGGATCTCAGAAGTCTTCAGTTCAACCTTCTTAACTCCACAGCAACTAAGTAAGCAGTCATCAAGCCCATGTTTGAATCTCCCAACTGATCTAAAAGTCATTACACATTACAGGGTGAAACAATTCACTTCATTTTTACTGAGTCCTAATTGTTAGAATGTTATATTTTATACCGTGGAAACATTTAACACTCTGTGCTTTCTATCTCTGAGTCCTAGTTCTGTCCTTCAGAGTCACACGGAATAATCCCAACATTTCTTTTAAGAGGTAGACTCTTTTACCTCTTAAAAGATGGATTTTTCTTTCAAGACACTAGACTTTCAAGTATAACAGTATCATATCTACCTCCTAAGCTGTGTTTTTTCAGTTGTTCCTAAGGATACTAATAGAACTGCGAATACATCCATAAGCCCACTGTGCTAGCTATTCAACACTCTCACATGCAATACTACCAATTGCAACAATGGTAAATATACTCTTGGTCAGCATGCCTACTTACAGAAAACAGAACATCCCCACCTACCATACATATTCTTTTCCACAGCTTCAGTAACCCCTGATTAATGACCTCCACTTGCAAAGGAGGCTACTTACCTTAACCATGAAATAATGAATGCTATTGATCCAACAAGCCACCACTATAGAGTGTTATTGATCACCCAATCTTTGGTTAAAATGGTCCTCATTTAGCAATTTCACTGTCACAAGCACCTGGAGCAAAGCATGCTCATAATTAAAGAGTTTGGGGGAGTTAAAGTGAGAGGTGATGGACAGAGATCTCAGCTTTCTCCCATTTATTCTTGCTTCTGAGCTATTGTTTGTGTCAGAAGGGATATTGATTTTCTATAAAAATAAGAAAACAAGAGGCACCAAGGGGCCGCAGAAGGTCAGCCTGGGCTGGAGAAGGAGGGGGTAGGTTTAGCACTCTATCTCTGTCACTTGCCTTCCAAGAGAGGAGAATATTTTCTTTCCTGTGAGATCAGCCTCTAATACATCACCTTAGGAAGGCTCCTGAATGTGACTTCTGGCCATCACCCAACCAATTCACTTAAGAAAGAAAAAGAAGCTAAACTATATTCAAGGGGCACAAACAAGTAATATGTTAGTAAAGAACAGAGCAAAATTAGGCTACAGTCACCTAATAGCTAATAGCTATTAATAGCTGCTATACAATTTGAATAAAGATTGGTAGAAAATAATTTTACAGTAGTTGTTCTACTTTAGAATACTCATACACATACACAGAAAAAATATTAAAATAATAGTTTGATCTCTATGCAAGCAGAAAAAAACTATTTCACTGTAACCATTTTATAACTCTCAGAACTTGTGAGGGATTGGTTGGTATAATATTAAAGGAAGACCAGAAAGAGAAAAGCAAACAAATATTGATGAAGTCTGTAAGTACTCCATGTTTAGTTCACAAAGAGTGAGTTTAAGGAAATTAGAAATAAGCTGATTGAGACATACATTTTTAAATCTAAAACACCTAATGCATGCTTAAAAAAAAAACACACAACTCTACCATTGACTAGGCTAAGCTAAGCTTAACAATCAACTTCATCTTAATAATCTTACAATGTGGAATCAATACTCTGACAACCCTCAATCCCACTGCTAAAAAGTAAAATTCTATATTTTGATCTGTACATGAATAAACAGTGGTACAGCCAAGCAGATTTATGAAAGGGTAACCAAGAAGATTCTTCAAAGTATTTCTTTTAAAAATGTAGGGGGAAAAAAAAAAGAAGAAGAAAAATGCTGACAATCAACTCACCAAGACAGTATAATGAAATCATAAACTATTATCTACTTACACTCTAGTGCTAGCCCTGTTTAAAGGTGTGCCTAATAATCAAGGGCAGCTTGAACATGAAAAGATTTTAGTTCCACTCTCCTGTTGAGGAGGGGCTGAACACAACATGTGGTCAAAGAGTAAAAATCACTCCCTTTCGTCACAGAATGAATCTAGAAGGAAAAAATACAAAGCATTTCTGTTTATAACTACAGATGAATTGAGACAAGTAGGGGAATTTAGAACTCCTAAATAATTAGAAGATTTTAGAGAACTTTCCTCATGCTATGTGTGATACCACTCCACCCATTATTCCTTCACAGCTACAAGCCTACTCCGAAGTGAGGGACCAGGGTAATAGCCCAAATGGGGGAATGAGGTCTCCTCAATTTGAAAAGAGTAAGAATTTTATAAGAATTCCCATCCACTTAAGTTTATCCAGACTCTCAGATAACTAGAATTTATATTGCCACAACCTGACGAGAATGATCAACAGATGTGTCTGGAGTAAGAAGAAACAGAAAAGGGTGAAGCATCTCACTGCTAGATTACAGGCTCTGCATCTGGAGCCATTCTTGGGCTGCTATCTCAGAGCAGACAGAGTTAACAGTCTCTCTCTCTCACACACACAATTATGTCGTAGTTTAACAAGAAATTCTGCGGAAGAAACATACGTAAGGCTATCATCCCAAAAGCCTACTTTTAAAATCACCATTCTCAACACTAAGAAGATTTATATTTGGTATACATGCTCAGTATTAAAACAAACTTGAATGTCTTGATAGAGGGTTTCAATAGTATGAAAGGCTACAAGCTGACTATGCATTTCTTGTTTGATTAAAAATAGTTTGAGGAAGAAATATCTTTATAATCCAAATATATACATATAAATTGTATAAATCTTAAAAGGAATTAGGCATTAGAAGAAAATTAGGAAAGTCAAATTATGAGCTTATCTCAATATAATTTACAGACTGGCAAATATAAAGTTAATAAGAAAAAGTTTAAAAGCTGGATTAAAAACCGTCCATGAAAGGTACAGGCATACAGATCTAAACAGCTTTTCCTGTTACTGACATAGCCTCATCTCAGAGTTCCTAAGATTAAGATCTTGGTTTTTAAGACAAGTTTCAGGAAAGTCGTATGTCCTGCAGCTGGGAAAGTTAAATTGAGACAAAACAACTCAAAGGGCAGTGCAACATGGCAGTTAAGAATATGCTTTGGAATCAGGCTTGATTCTGAGTTTTGGCACTGGATGACCTTAGGCAAATTATCTAAGCTCTTATAACCTCAACTTCCCTTCTATAAATACAAATAGTGGTATCCACCATATAGTGGAACTGTGAACATTAAATAAGAGTATATGTTAAGTCCAACCAGGCGCAGTGGCTCACACCTGTAATCCCAGCAATTTAGGAGGATGAGGCGGGTGGATCACGAGGTCAGGAATTCAAGACCAGCCTAGCCAACATGGTGAAACCCCGTCTCTACTAAAAATACAAAAATTAGCCAGGCAGGGTGACCCACGCCTGTAGTCCCAGCTACTCAGGAGGCTGAAACAGGAGAATTGCTTGAACCCAGGAGGCAGAGGTTGCAGTGAGCCAAGACTGCACCTCTGCACTCCAGCCTAGGTGACAGAGCGAGACTCTGTCAAAAAAAAAAAGAGACAGTATATATTAAGTCCATAGTACAGTCTGGCACATAGTGCTTAACAAATGCCAACTAATATTAACAGTAATAGAATACACTGGTTGTCAAATGGGTGTACTCAATCCACCTAGGGATCATCCCAGAGGCTTCTGGGTTGATAAAGGAACAAGGGTGTGAACAACGCAGAGATGGCTAAATATTCTACAATGCACCATAAAGAATTGTCCCATCCAAAACACCAATGGCATCCTCATTATTAAGAAAAAGATAATCAGTATCAATGTTCCTAGGACTATCTGAGATGTAAAAAATAAAAAGTCACCAAAACTACACTTACATTTTAAACATGAACCCATTAGACACAAATTTTTCTGGCTTGATCACATTTGATGTAAGACTACTGGGACTCGGCAATGTTATTTTCAAAGCCCACCACGTGTTGACAACTTGAATGTCGGCCATAAAAAAAATAAACTCAATATAGTCAAACCGCAAGTAGCAGAGAACAAAATTATAGCCAAAAAGTATCTAAAGCCATAATTCTTAATGGGGACAGGCAACTTAACAGAACATTTACAAACTCCATATGCCTGGCATTAGCATTTTCTCTCACACACTCACATACCAGCCTCTGCTGAAACCTGAGTTCTAAGAACAATATTTATGTACAAACTACAAGGCATAATAAGCAGCAAATTTTGTTTACATAAAATTACTAGTTGTGCATTTCAGGTATGCATTTTAAACAGTTTTTAGAAACAATTGTGTTTTTATTATATATAGCCTTCCTGACAGAGGGAAACAGACTCATGAACAGTACCTTAAAGAGCTAAACTACTGACTGATTCAAGGAAGGCTTCAAAGTCAATACTCAAGTGGCTGGTTTGAAAGAAGGTAGAGCCCACTAAGACTATGGATGTGCACTCTGGGTAAAATTAACCAGGAAAATCTTTGACTTAGTAAGGGAGATCTCACCATTCTGACATGTTCTCATCAGAGCCCTGTTTTTGTTCATCTGTTTCACACTCCATCCTTTCTTTCCTTCCTGTTTTGCTTAGGAAAGTCCTATTTTCTGCTGATTCACACAATCCATGGCCTGATGAGGTCCAAGGAGTATTCTCCTTCCAGCGGGACAGACGTTGCTTCTTGGCAGACTTGAACCTGCAGCCTCTCTCATAGCTCCAATCTGACACCTTCAGCTTCTGCTGAAGGCTAGCAGCCACCTCTGATGTCACTCGCTTCACCTTCCGCCTGCGCCTGAGTGGTCGACAAGGTGCATTTTCAGTAAAGGAGTCAGATTCATGCCAAGAATGTTGCTTACTCTTAACAATGGCATTGAGAGCTGGGTGTCGTTTGACTACCATTGTGTCATCAGAGTCACTAAAATTGGTCACGGGAGCCACTTCTCGGCAGTCCTTAGTGGCCTCATCCAGACTTGACTCAGAGGCCTCGCTGTAGCAGCAAGTATGCTCTGCCAGGTGAGTGAAGTCAGAACGACGCTTCCGACCTCGGCGCTTCCGAAGCTGCCGCCTCTGCTGCCGGGGGCTCAGGGCCATCTCCTCCCACAGCTCACCAAGCTTATTCTGCTCAGATGTCTGCTCCAAGGCTGATGCTAAGTCGTGTACCAGCTCATCCATGAGGCCACATCTGCCAAAAGGAAGTTCACGGAGGAAGAAAAAAGAAAAAGAAAAAGAGAGCATGAAAAGGATCTGCTGTTTTGGAATAATCTGATAAAACAGATCATGGTAGTCCATAGTTCTGCCTGCCTAAACAAAATAAGTCACTTTTCATCTGGCTACACTTAGATTCTGTTCCTACCGCTTCCTTAAGTCACTAAAAATAGGTGTTCTGCCCCTTGTTAAATGACTGAAGTCAACATATCCTTAGGCACAAAAACCTGCTCACCAGATGACAACTGGGACAGGACCCAAAACAAATTCAGGGAACTAGACCCGTCTCTCTTTCCCCAATTAAACTTGTCACTGAATTACCTAATGATGAGATCCAGAAAGATTAGAGACTGTCTCATTAGACTGGAGTAGAAAAAACACACAACTTCAAAATCACAGTAGAGCTGCGGAAACACAGAGCAGGACACAGTCTCAACAAGGTATTGAGAATGAATGAAAAACTGATCTTTGGCCTGGGGAACACTACTGACAATGGCCATGGCAGAAAGACAACTTAGTGACACTCTTTAGACTGCAGTTTTTGTGATCCAAGAAATTGCAGTGACCCAGCTTTGAAGTCAGAAAGGAGAACAGACTAAGTTTGCACCCATTCTGGTACCAACTACCACCTGGAAGCTACCAGGTATAGAACCTTATACCGTATGTCATATATTTTTGAGTAATTAACAATTTTTAAGCCCCTCTCCTATCCTTCAGAAAATAAATATTTGTCCTAGTTATGTGCTTCAGTGCCACACAATCACAGAAAAAACACGATACAATAGCAGCTGAAATGACAGCGATAAGTTGAAGTTTCTAAGATTTCTGGCCCAACTGCTTTCCAAAATTTCTTATTTTTCTATTCATCCTCAAACCAAACATCACACTTCAGGGGTCACTTCAGAGGCAAACATTTCAAGAAAGGAGAGTAGTAAGAGCAATCTTCAAAATTCCCTCTTAAGGGGAAATGTTTAACATAATTTGTACAGCGCCTAATTAAATACATATTAAATTTTTAGCACTTTTTTCATTGCCCCTGTGCCCAAAGTATTTCAAGATGAAAACTAGAGCTTAAAATTCTATGTGGTGCCACTCTTTGACCATATTTCCATTCATTCAGTTTTCACTTTGCGAAGCGTTTTCTAAATACGATGTTCATGTTGTGCCTATGTCAATGAATTTAAAGGCAAGAAAACAGTCCTCTGGCTTATCTGCCACACCTTTAGGAGCAATGGTGACACCTACTTCCAAAACTACCATACAAACAAAGCTTCTTAAAGTGTCCAAAGGCACATACACTTTAAAAAGGCCGAGTTCTTTTAAGCAATAAGAAGTGATTTGTCAACAACTGTGAAAAGAGGGGGGAAAAAATGGGGGGGAGGGGTTAAAATGCCAGGATTGAGGTTTGGGAGACAACTGTCCCTAAGACCAAAATAGAGAAACAAGTGGGAACAGCATGTCTAAATCCACTTCCCTAATAAAGAATTACTGCTTTAAAAACTCAGGCAACAAAAATACAAAAAACAAAAGAACAAACAAAACCCTCAGAACAGCACAAACTTGAACACGGAACGAAGTCAGAAGTCCAATGCCTGTGCAGAATCCTTTCCTGCATCAAAGCCTGCAACTCGGACAGTAGGTGACAGAAGGACCCTAGGGCTCCCATCTCCAGTCGCGGGTGCACACTCTCGAGAGGACCCGGCGACCAGGCATGCACCCGGGAAGAGAGGAGGCTGAGTCACGCACAGGAAGGAACTGGTAGTTGTGGACAGCAAGTAAGGAGAGAGGCAGGAGCAGGGTGGAAGTGAGGGGCGGAGTAGGGGGTGGGAGAGGCGGGAGGCAACTTCTCATTTGGGCTCAACAAGGACGGGGTCGGCTCTCTAGGGCAGAAACTGCCAAAATGGAAGCCGTGGCGACTGAGCTCCCTCCGGGATCGGGGGTCGCAACATGGCCACATATGTGAGAAAAACTGTGTTTCGAAGGACTCTCCACCACGCCCCGGCCCGTCCCTGAGGGCTGGGGCGACCATGGCCCGTTTCCCAAGCCCTCATGCTGCCGCCAGCCCCAGAGAGGCAGAAAAAGGAAAAGAGAAAAGGGGGCTGTGGCCCCGGAGACGGTCCGACCCACATCCCCAGGGATAGGAACATGGGCCCTGAAAAGCAAGGCCCCACCACCCTCACCCTCCGGCTGGCTGCCGCAGCCCCAACACGCCCTTGGCCGCTCAGCCGCGGCTTGGCGATCCGATCCCCTCTGGCACTAGCCCTCAGGACCCCAACACTCTCAACCCACTCCACCCCCTCACCAGCTGCCGCAGCCACCTCGAACGGCCGCCGCTGTTTGGGCCGACTCTCACCGCCGGGGTTTCCCTCTCTGACCTCATTTCCGGTCTGGGCCGGAGGGGTGGGGCAGCGGCGAGAGGGCGGGGCTGGCTGCAAGAGCGGGCCCCTGACCCAGTGCTTCCGCCCGTGGCCACACCCACTTCCGCCCTGCGGTCGGGAGAGCGGGGAGGGTGTCGCAGGAAGGCAGGAAATGGGGCAGACACCAAGGAAGGATGGTGAATAGGAGCTGGCCGGGAAAGGGCGCCTCAGGGGCTGAGGTGCCCGTGTGGGGAACGACCCCAGCATGCTGGCCTCATCTTTCTTAGGGGCGTCCAGAAATTGGCGCTAGGGAGGGTTGTCAGCTTCCCCCTTGCTTTCTGACCTTTATAAAGAGTGTGTGAAGTTGAGGGGAAATGGATGTTAATGACATATACCCTGTAAGCTGGTACAGTCTTTGGGAGGGGTTGTTTTGCACTGAGTTACTCAGAACATTACAAAGTGCCTTGAGCAAGTGATACTGGATTATAATTCAAAGTATAAAAGAAATATTCGTGAACCCATACCGATATAAATAAGTGACTGAATGAATTAAAGAATGGAGAAGAGATAAATTCCCCATAGAAGAATTTCAAAGTATGCAGACACACCATCCTGGAGCATAACTTCCATCCACCCCCTTAAATGTGGGCTGTGCATAGTGACTTCTTTCCCAAAAGTACAACATATGAAAAGGGGAAAATGAGTAATTTTACAGTGGAGATACCTGGCAAACAGTAATTCGGCCAGGTGACCAAGATTATGTGCTAAATCATGTTGATAGTATGTGGAATGATATATGATGAGAATGGCACTTTATGATAGTTTCCTTCCAAATCTCATAACCCCAGTCTAATTAAAAGAAAAATCAGACAAACCTGAATTGAGGGACATTCTGCAGAGTGCATGATCAGTATTGTTCAAAATGGTTAAGGTCAGCAAAAGCAAGGAAAGTCTGAGAAACTCAGAGCCAGGAGGAGCCTAAGGTGACAAGACAATGTAATATGGTATCCTGGCTGTGACACTGCAATTTTAAAAAGAACGTTAGGTAAAAACTAAGGAAAACTGGATAAAGTATCAACTATAATAATGTATTGGGCCAGTCACAGTGGCTCATGCCTATAATCCCAGCACTTTGGGAGGCCAAGGTGGGCAGATCACTGAGGTTGGGAGATCGAGACCAGCCTTGCCAACATGGAGAAACCCCCTCTCTACTAAAAATACAAAAAATGAGCCGGGTGTGGTGACATATGCCTGCAATCCCAGCTACTTCGGAGGCTGAGGCAGGAGAATAGCTTGAGCCAGGGAAGTGGAGGTTGCAATGAGCAGAGATAGAGCCACTGCACTCCAGCATGGGCAACAGAGCGAGACTCCCTCAAAAAAAAAAGAGTGAATAATAGGGGAAATTATACAGAAACTGTAGTATCTTCATAATTTTTCTCTACACCTAAAACTATCCTAAAATGAAAAATGTATTTTAAAATATGCATAAACTTTGGACCCAGAAATTTTGCCCTAAGAATTTTATTCTAAGGGAAAATTGAAAATGGGCACAAAAATATTAAATATAGGAAATCACCTCTGCAGCATTTTTGAGGGAGAGATGAGGAAACTAGAAAAAGCCAGAAGTTCTATAACAGGCATTAGTTAACTGCATGATGGTACATCTATGGGTGAAATACCTTGCAACTTTTTTAAATTGATGTTGCAAAAGAATATTTAATGACATGAAAATCCACTGACTTATGATTGCGTTCAATTCTGCGTAACTGTTATACTTCAATAAAAAGATCAAACATGTAGAGTACGAATCACATACAAAGGAAATTAAATCTATACTTGCACAGGAGTATGACCAGAAGAAAACACTACACAGCATCCAAAAGTTTCATTATCAATTATATCTCCCATTGTGTGTGTGTGTGTGTGTGTGTGTGTGTGTGTGTGTGTGTTTATTTTCAGAATTTTCTATAGGTGAAACATTGTGTAAAAAGTCAAGGTAGGAGACAAAGATAGCTAAGGTTTTGAGCTAGGATGGCTAAGATAATGATCAGTGCCATCTGCCCAGCTAGAGAAGTCAAGAAGATAAACAGGTTTAGTGGAAAGATGATTAATTCCATTTTAGACATGCTGAATTTGTGACTCCCACAGGAGTCACAAATATGGAAATATTCAACAGGTGTCCACAGCCATTGGGCCTCTTTTCTGCGTAAATGAAAATTCTCTCCCACAAATTCTCTGTTTTCATGGTGTTGGTTGCCTGCATCAGCACTGAAAGCTCCCAAATTTCTTGAAATCCAACTTACATTTTCATCTTTCTACTAGATATCTCCACTTGTTTACCTCAACAGTATTTCCAGTTTAAAATGTCAAAAATAGGTCAGGCACAGTGGTTCATGTCTGTAATCCCAGCACTCTGGGAGACTGAGGAGGGCAGATCACTCAGCCTCCCAGTCAGATTGGATTAGAGCCCACTCTAACAGCTTCATTTTAAACTCAATACCTTCTGTAAAGGTCCAGTCTCCAAATACAGTCATATCCTGAGTCACTTCAATTATGGTTTCAACAGATGAATTTAGCAGGGGGAACACTGTTCAGCCCATAATACTCCACTAGTCCATTGCTAGGATAATGCTTATCTCTATCCCATCCGGTGGAGTGACCAATCCCATTGCCCATTGCAGATTGTGTCGGGAGTGCACACGTGACCCAACAATGAGCAATGAGACATGAGAGGACAGTTGTTGAGGGCACACTCTGAGATATGTTTCTCCTCTTAGCATTACAGAAAGAGACCATTTCTCTTTGTCTGGAAATTGTTATGTCTGGATGTGACATTCATACCTGCCACAACCTCCTGGCTAGCATCCTGAGGAGGAAGCCAGCACTGAGGATGGCAGGGCAGAAATAGAAAGAATCTGGACATCTGGCCAGGTGCGGTGGCTCACACCTGTAATCCCAGCACTTTGAGAGGCTGAGTCAGGCAGATCACTTGAGGCCAGGAGTTCAAGACCAGCCTGGCCAACATGGCAAAACCCTGTCGCTACTAAAAATACAAAAATTAGCTGGGTGTGGTGGCACATGCCTGTGATCCCAGCTACTTAGGAGGCTGAGGCATGAGAATCGCTCGAGCCTGGGAGGCAGAGGTTGCAGTGAGCTGAGATAGCACCATTGCACTTCAGCCTTGGCAACAGAGCAAGACTGTCAAAAGAAAGGAAAAAAGTAAGGAAGGAAGGTAGGAAGGAGAGAGAGAGAAAGAAAAAAGAGAGAAAGAAAGAATCTGGATCTCTGATGACATTGCTGAGCACTGGATCAACTAACCCTGAAGGATCTACTCCAGAACTATCTTGTTATGTGACCTACAAACTGTCCTTACTGTTTAAGCAACTCTGGATTGCAGTTTCTGTTACTTGCAGCCAAGAGTGTCCTAGCTTTTACACCTGCCATCATTCAGGCCATCCTCCTGTATCCACCACCATCTTCTTTCTCACCCACCCTTGGGGCCAAAAAACACTGCAGCCATTTACCTTGGCAAAATCTGTAGCTCCTCCACTCATGTCCCTCTTGCCATCCCTTTACAGAAATGACAGTGAAATGTATACTCAACATTCTTCCCTTGCATCTATTAAAATTGTTCTGCCATTGAAAACTTGGCATGGCAAATTCCTGGGGTTCTGTGTTTGGAAGAGGCAATCACAAGATGTAGGACCCATTTGGGCAGGTAATGAGAGGCTCGGGTGATTGAGCATAACTCACTCACCCTCTCTGCTTGGCGGAGCTTGTTCTTACAAGGATCTTATTGAAAATAAAGAAAAGCAAGAGGCCTGGTGCGGTGGCTCATGCCTATAATTCCAGCACTTTGGGAAGCTGAGGCGGGTGGATCATTTGAGGTCAAGAGTTCAAGACCAGCCTGGCCAACATGGTGAAAACTCATCTCTACTAAAATACAAAAATTAGCTGGGCATAGTGGCAGGCACCTGTCATCCCAATTACTTGGGAGGCTGAGGCAGGAGAATCACTTGAACCCAGGAGGCAGAGGTTGCAGTGAGCCAAGATTGTGCCATTGCACTGCAGCCTGGGCAAAAAGAGCAACAGTCCATTTCAAAATAAATAAATAAATAAAACAATTGGCCAGGTTTGGTGGCACATGTTTGTAATCCCAGGTACTTGGGAGGCTGAGGCATGAGAATTGCTTAATCCTGGGAGGCAGAGGTTGCAGTGAGCTGAGTTTGCACCACTGAACTTAAGAGCAGGACTCCAACTCAAAAAAAAAAAAGAGAGAGAGAGAAAGAAAGAAAGGAAAAGCTAGAAACCAGAGTACTCAGAGGGCTGGGCCAAGACTGTTTAAGATGTAGTTCATTGGGGAGCAAGAATGGAACTAGAGCTGACTTTGTGGAAGGGCCAAAAAAGAAAGAAGGAAGGAAAGAGCACCAGGGTGCCAGGGACTGTCACAGAAATGTCCCAGAATTATTAAATTCAATGAGAATAAAATGGTTAATTTGATGTGTCAACTTGACTGGATTGAGTGATACCTCGGATGGCTGGTAGAGCATGATTTCTGGAACAGAGTGGCAGATGAGTCTGTGGACAGAGTGGGGAAGATCTGCCCTCAATGTTGGTAGACACACAATGCAATCAACTGGGGGCCTGAATAAAACAAAAAGCCAGAGGAAAGGCAAATTCACTCTTTCTTGGAGCTGGGACACCCTTCTTCTTCTGCCCTTGGACATCAGGACTCCAAGCTCTTCAGCCTTTGGACTCTGGAACTTACACCAGTGGCCTCTGGGTACTCAAACCTTCAGCCTTGGACTAAGAGTCACACCACTGGCTTCCCTGGTTCTCAGCCTTCAGACTTGAACTGAGTCATGCAACCGGCTTCACTGGGTCTCCAGCTGGCAGATGGCCAGTCGTGGGACCCCTCAGCCTGCATAATCACATGAGCCAATTCCCCTAGCAAATTCCCCCTTTATCTGTCTATCATCTAATCTATCTATGTGTCTATCTTTCATCTATTTATCCCATTGGTTCTGTCTCTCTGGAGAACCCTAACT